GAGTAAATGCTTGCAAGGGTTTTGCAAAAGCAGCATAACCCAGGATCCACTGTCTACAATAACCCGTTGCACCTAAGAATCCCCTCATCTGTTTTCTAGTCATAGGTTTGGGAATGTTGAGGACCGCTTCAGCTCTACTAGGGGAAAGGTGGCGTTCTCCTGCTGAGATAACCCGCAGGTTACAAGACATAATGGCCACAAGCTAACAGAGAGCAGATTTAGACTGGACATTAGGAAGAACTTCTTCACAGTTCGAGTGGCCAAGGTCTGGAACGGGCTCACTAAACACATTGTCTATCGTTAAGCTGCTGCCAAAAGCAGCATGTGCTCAGCAATGAAAACCAACTATGAAGCTGAATAAATGCAGCCGACACCAAGCATGACTAGAAAACACAAGGCCCCCCAAATCGGGCTAATAGGCTGATGTGAACCTTGCGTGTGTGTGTGGCCCTTCAAATATGTGCAGGAAGCAATGGTACCAGACCTGGAGGTACTGAAATAGCAAGCCAGAATACTCTGGAGCATCGTACGGCCACACACCAGGTCTGTGTTTTACAGAGGCAAATGTCGTATGAGAGAGGACTCCAAAAGTGAGTATAAACAACTATCTTAGGCTCCAGGAGAATCATTTATGGGACATGCAAGCACACCAAACGGGTCACAAGAGCTCCCCAGCCTCGAGCTCTGCATCTCAGGAGCCCTCCTGCCGACCCGCACGCCTAGCCCCATGGCGCTCCCCCACCGCAGAACTAGCACGGGCGTCCCCATCGTTCGTGGTCACTTCATTACGCATCTCTGAGCTGGTTTTATACTGAATACGTGCCTGGATTTGCAAACAGCTTGGGGCAGGACTGCTAATGGTGGCGGTCACGTGGGCGCACGGTACATCAAGGGGGTGCACCAGGATCGGGGGGACGCCTGTTCACCGGAGCGCCCCAGGGGTGACGAGGCCCAGCGGTCACAAACTCCTCCAGGACTGTTTCCGGCTGGACATAAGGGAAAACGTCTTTACTGTCCGAGCCCCCAAGGCCTGGCAGAGACTCCCCTCGGAGGTGGTGCAGGCACCTGCTCTGGACTCCTTCAAGAGACATCTGGACGTCTATCTTGCTGGGATCCTGTGACCCCAGCTGACTTCCTGCCCCTGGGGCGCGGGACGGGACTCGATGAACCTCCGAGGTCCCTTCCAGCCCGAATGTCTATGAAATCTATGGATACTGAGGGGACGGCTTCCTCCCATTTTGTGAGGTGCTGCGGGGACGGCTTCCCGCCCTTTTGTGAGGGGCT